ACACGGTAGACATGTCGCCTGCAAAAACTGAGTGCAACTTTGCCGCATAGCTGTTGTTGTTTGCCAGACCTTCGCGTGACTTTATTACGTAAATGCAGTGTATACCTTATAACTTTAGAGGAAGTTACACCGTATCACCAACTTTCTTTAACTACCCTCAAAATATTCCGCTTTGGTGCAATTTTGATATGCCCTCTTTGTACCGGGTTTGCGTAGAAAAAAAACCGTGTGATACTACTACGGCATCGGCATGCCCTACACGCCTGCATGTGAGTGTTGTGTGACAGAAGAGACCCTTGATCACGTCCTGTTCCTTTGGGCTCGTTGTGGCAACTATACCCGCTCTGCACGATCCTTTATGATATGAACCCAAAATATATTTTCAGACGACGCCTGTTTTAGGCCATGAACATGCGCTTCGATGGCGCAGAATGCAATGAAAGCATTGCTGGTGGATTCTAAAGTCATATGAAGCCGTCCGTAGACTTGATGCGAGTAGTGTCATCATCTCCAGGAGTGTGCATGATTAGTTATTTCGCTTCATCTTCCATTGTGGAATACTAACTTTGTTTCTAAAGACTGGAAAATGGCCGAGATTATACCGCTACACAAACGTGGGAGCAAATGCTTCGTTAAAAATGCCATCCCTCATCACTAGTCTGAGCGTCTTGCCAATTCTGCAACAGGATTACTACGAATACTTTTCAAGTAGCTGAAATTTCTCACCGCACAACGTGATGGAAGCATAGCTCCAGAGGGAGTTCTATAGTGTCTCTTTAAAGGAAGTCGTCATGCGTGGAGCAAGTCAGGACGTTCAAAACGGAGACAAGGCACTGTATTTTTTTTTTTTCTCTGATGAATGAACCAGGGCTAACAACATTCCTGGTGTGGTGTGCTCATTTATTGTTTAGTGTGTAGATTCGCATCTAAATACTCTTTCGTTTGGTCTTAGTATACCACGCGAATATGGATGGAGACAATGTGTTCTGCAACAAAGTAGTTTTGTGCTCGGTTGTGCATATCTGAAAAAAGTAACATTACTACAATTTGGATAGGATATGGGATATTTGGAGTGGATATAACGTGTTTGCACGTAAAAAAAAAAAAGCTGACCTTGCGCAGCTTGATTTCTCGTCTGGCGTAATTCCAAAATATTCAGCAGTTGGGGAGCAGTGTATTACAAAAATAATGAATCATATTTGGCTTGGTAACGACTACGTACACACATTAGTGCAGGGACTTGCAATTGGTTATGGCAACGACATATGCCCTTGTCGATAAACAAGACAATCGTGGTGAGCTGTAACTGCTATACTGCCACTGTTACTACCAGCAAGACCCTCCTGCATTGCCAGAATATTCAGCACGTATTTTTACGCGCATGTAAACGTTATGTGTCAGTAATGCGCCAACATTGAACTAACCTGATTATTACTGTGTATTGTTACTATTATTACTGTATATTTTACCTGAACAGAGTTGCACGTCTGTCTTCCAAACGGCACTGGCAACCATGCGTTGGAGTGAAGTTGACGCTCGAGACATTTTCCGCATTTATCGGCGCCTCCACTGTAACCATAGAGTTTCCTGAAGTTAACTAGAGGAGACTCTGGCACTGCGATCGTTCGGCGACCATGGGAATAATGGTTAGTACACAGATTTGCTTATAGTATTCGTACATGCTGGCGGCGAATCGCACTTCTGTCTTCGTTAATTGCTGGCTTTGCTTTCGTTTTGAAAGAAAGAACAAATCCTTCTCGATTTCGTGACCTGATTCGAAATGGTAAGACTAAAAAGAATAAGGTGGTGAAGCGCAACCGCTGAACCTTTGTTGATTTTTGTTTCGTGAGAAAACAGCTCCAGGCCTTACGAACACACATGGAGCCAGAAGCACGAAAATTAGACAAATCTGTTTACTACCCCTCATTCCCGTGCTCGCTGAAGCGCCGTGCGTTGCAGCTCCCATAGACACAAGCGCCATATTTCCCTCTAGTGTATATTAGGAAACTCTATGGCTATAACGAAATGCACAGACCACAAGTCATCTACAGTCAATTCAATCGCTGATCTTCGACTTGCCACATATGTCAGTCGGAAACACGGTAGGCATGTCGCCTGCAAAAACTGAGTGCAACTTCGCCGCATATAGCTGTGGTAGTTTGCCAGACCTTCGCGTGACTTTATTACGTAAATGCAGTGTATACCTTATAACTTTAGAGGAAGTTGCACCGTATCACCAACTTTCTTTAACTACCCTCAAAATATTCCGCTTTGGCACAATTTTGATATGCCCTCTTTGTACCGGTTTTGCGTAGAAAAAAACCGTGTGATACTACTGCAGCATCGCCATGCCCGACACGCCTGCATGTGAGTGTTGTGTGACAGAAGAGACCCTTGATCACGTCCTGTTTCATTTGGGCTCGTTGTGGCAACTATACCCGCTCTGCACAATCCTTTATGGCATGAACCCGAAATATATTTTCAGACGACGCCTGTTTTAGGCCATGAACATGCGCTTCGATGGCGCAGAATGCAATGAAAGCGTTGCTGGTGGATTCTAAAGTCATATGAAGCCGTCCGTAGACTTGATGCGAGTAGTGTCATCATCTCCGGGTGTGTGCATGATTAGTTATTTCTCGTCATCTTCAATTGTGGAATACTAACTTTGTTTCTAAAGACTGGAAAATGGCCAAGATTATACCGCTACACAAACGTGGGAGCAAATGCTTCGTTAAAATTGCCATCCCTCATCACTAGTCTGAGCGTCTTGCAAAATATGCAACATATAATACATATACACATTTCAGAATTTCTTGAGGGACAATACTTCTTCACTAGAGAAGAACATGGCTATCGCAGATGCTTTTCTACGCAAACTCGATTAGTAGAAACTGTACATGATTTCGCAGTATCTAATAAAAATGGCGATCAAACTGACGCTATTATTCTAGACTTTCGCGAAGCCGTTCACACGGTTTATCATAACAAACTGCTCAATAAAATAAATTCAGTACTTCAAACCTCTATACTATTATCCTGTGTTTTATCACATATAAATCGTAGCCAACAAACTGTTTCTTTTATTCAACGTTGTTCGAGTTTAGTTTCAGTATCACCTGGTGTCCTGTAGGGTTTGAAACTCAGACCACTATTCTTCCTTATTTTTATAAATGAGATAGTTGATGGCATTCCAGTAAAAATTGAACTCTACGCGACTAATCAATTATGTATCGCGAGTCTAAAAACCTGACTGATCAATTGCATGTAAATCAAGCTTTTGAAAAGGTTGTGCCATGGTGTGAGAGTTTGCAGATGTGTCCTAATCTTGAAAAAAAAAACACTAGCAAAAATTTACTCACAACCAAACACAATCTTAATACTACGGCTACAACAACAATTATCTTGCCGAGGTAACCAAATACAAATACTTAAATCTTTTGCTGACGAGTGAGTTGAGTTGTAATAAACAAAGCGACCGAGTCAAAGCTCACGCACAACGCAAACTATTTTTACTTCGCAGAGCACTGGAACTATTTACCCTCACTGTGCGTCTTCTTGCTTATAAATCTGTCATTCTGTTCAGGTTAGACTATAATGCTGCTATCTGGGCCCATTTACTAAAACTAATATTCATAAATCAGAAATGATTAAAACAAGAGCAGTTCACTTTATTTATAACCGTTATAACCGTTCATCAGTAACTGACTTGCTAATCAGAGCTGATTTGCAACCTCTGTCTTGAATCAGAGCTTGAATTGTAACTGGCCTCTTAATCGGAGCTGATTGGAAACAGTTATTCACGTTTGAAGTTTCCCTACCAAATATAAATGGGACATGGTTAATGTTGACGCAACTTCAGTTATTCCACGGACCCCCAGATAGAGCCCAAGGCAATGGCATGACAGAACACTAAAACCATATCATGCACGAAATATGTATATAAATACCCTTTTTTTTCAAGGAATGTGAATGACTGGAATGTACTAACAAATGAACAAGTGTCTCAGACTTCGTTGCAAAGTTTAACTTCAAGTTTGTGAACTTCCTTTCAAGTCTATTAAGCTCGGCGATACTGTAGAGCCTTCAAGTACTTACGTGCTGCGTATTGTTTTGTTGTTCATTTGATACTGTTCACTTATTATATATATATATATGAGTTTGTTTATTTAGATGTGTAACTGTGCTTTCTTTGTTGTCGATTCGATTTTTGTTTTCGATCACGCGAAATATGTGACCTGGTTGTATCTACCACCTGTTCCATAAATTTTCTTGTACGATATCAGTATTGAGCGACTTCCCACACTGATACGAAAATTCCAAACAGAAAATGTTGTATTTATAAAGAACAAAATAAACAAACAAAATTTTATCGCTTTTCACCCATAGCATTTATGCTTACTCTGGTTTCACTGTCTCCCAATCACACAGGGAAAAATTAGAAAAACTTCAGTTATATTACGCATATCTATCTCTAACACATAATGCATCAGCTAATGAGTGCGTTCTACAGCATACGTTCTTAAACTGTAAAAGTCTTGCACCACTTCTCAATAAGTTCGATATATTAGTTTCGCACGCTTTTTTGTGTCGTTCGGTACAGGCTCGCATTTGTTCATTTACCTTGAGATCTCGTGTTTGCGGTAACCACGAGAAGGGAGCTTCCGTGCCGGAAGTTGTAGCTTCAGGCACATGCATGATTTAACATACTTAAACTTGTTTATTTCATCAATGAGAAAGCAACACACTGTATAGTCTAATGCTCGGGAATAAACAATCAAATAGTTTCAGTGCTTCTTGTACTTGGTAAAATGACGTTCGAGTGGCTTTCACCCTGACACAGATTCATTCTTTTATATTGACGTAACAAATGCTTTAACGTCAACAGAACATATGGTACCAGGACGCTCTGGCTTAGCAGCTTGGTTACGTTGACTTACCTATAGCTTACTGTTGACACAGCATAGGGAACCACTAGCACCATATGTCACCAGGAAATGAAGTGGGGCAGTGAAAGTGACTTTATTTGTGATGCAGCACAGCCACACCATGGCGTGTGAGTGACGAAGCCATAGCGATTGAGAATAGCGGAAATTAACTCTTACATTTAAATAATATCCTTCAGATGCCGGAAAACTAGTACAAGTAGAATTGAAAGAGCAGGAAGAGATGAGTCAGTGAGTTGGAACCGAACTTACATTCCTTGACAATGCATGAAGCTTGATGACGTACTCCTAGCCAAGGTAAATAAAAAGCAGGAGTATACGTGCATTGCTTACTTTGTTTACATGTAGATTAGTTATTTAAGCTCTGTTAAGGATCACCAGCCAACTAGTCCAAACTTTTACATTCTACGTTACACGTACATTCCATTGCGTGCACTTTTTTTTGCCCACTACGCTACGCTGGTGCCATCTCTGCGGGTGCCTTCTGGGAAATTTTCGTACAGCAATAGCCATGGAATTACAGCCAGTGGCATGAACCTCCCAAGGCGGTGAATCTTTAACCACTAGGCCGATAAATTACTCTGCAGGTGACCAAAACCCACGTAAACCTTTATCAAAACATACATGGATATCGAAGTTGAACGTCACGTCCCAGACGTTTGTTTTGAAACAATCACGAGAACATTAACAGCGTGGAGTTAGACGATGTTAGGCACCTACTCTACAGTTGTCGTCGGCTCGTCGGTGAATGGCTCTGTGTCCTCTATGAAGGCCGTGATGAGCTCCAGCATGGCCTCGGGCTGGTCGAGTGGCAGCTCGTGGCCGCCATTGCGCACCACCACGTAGTTGAGGTTCTTGAACGTCCTCTTGTAACCGTACAGGTGCTCACCATCGGCGCTCCACCACGGGTGTTGGACAGCGTGGCTCCAGTCATCTGCGTGTGACCAGGCTACGTGCGCGAGGAAGTTCTCGGTCATGATCGTGGGCACGCAGATATCGAGCGGACCGCTGTAGACGAGAACCTTGTAGCCGTTCTCAAGCACCTCGGTGAACTGCGGTACGGCCGAGCGCATGAAGTCGTCGTAGAAGTGCCCGGCCACGACGTCACGCGTAATGCTGAATTCCATGTCGCCCACGTGCAAGGCGCGCCTAGCTTGAGGCTTCGGCAAGAAGACCTTGTACGCCCTGGTGCCCTTGGGCTCGGTGCTGGTCAAGTAGTTGTAGTAGTAACTGTACCCAGTGACGTTCTTGAAGTACGTGTCCTCCTTAGTCACGATTCCGAAGAACATCCTATCCATGAGATTAAAGGCTTCGGCAGTGTTGCCTGCCCGGATGTGCTGCTCCGCCTCTCGAGTGGCGCTCGACATGTATTCGGCGGCGCTTCGACTCATAAGTCCGATCGGGTAGATGAAATCGGCGACACCCAACATGTTGATTGGGTCTGTTATGCCATTGCCGTAGGCGATACCCTTGAAGTTGATTTTCACCCGCATAGTGTCGGCATTCTGGTGCAATGTGGCTCCGACTGTCGGAACGTACTTGCCTGCGCATTTAGAGTGAAAAGAAAAAAAAAGAACGTTTAGAAAGCGAGGTTTGGTCACCAGTTAGGCATCGGCTACACTTCGGGGTAGAAAAAGCGCAGGGTTTATGATAGCCAAGTGCGATTCTGGGGAACCATTTCAGTTTGTGAAAGTGAATAACCACTGAACCTGTAGCTCACCACACAGAAATATAGATAAGGGTACACATGGTTTCTCTTTTTTTTTAATCCTGCGGAAACAGTAATTTTTTTCAGCTTAGGGGTTACTCAGATACAAACCACCTACTGGTCTGACAAGACGACATGGCTGATGAACTGTTGATTAACTTCAACTGGTGTGCCGCTTCAATGCAAGCTCTCCTTACACAGTTAAAATCACAGCTTCTGTTCTGTTCAGTAAGAGCAGGGACGTCACACCGGTCCTGGGAAAGGAGCGTACTCTGTGGTATGTCCATCACTACAAATCAAATTAGCGCAACAAATTAACAAACACAGAAGAATAACGCAGAGGAGGAAGACCATAGCGCTCGTCGCCTTTTGTGCGATTCTTTTTTCATGCGTGCCAGTGTGCCAACACCTCCGATTCCAGAGCTCATAGAGCAGTAAACCGCAGCCCCCAGCTGATGTAACGTATTCGAATCCTTTCACACTTGATTCGTACAAAATACTGAAGTTCGCATGATAACCTGTCAGGACTTTCGCCCCCGGTCGTTCTTGCTGACGGCTAGTTTTTGCAACATTGAACTTTCATTATTTTTGTTTGCAAGCATCGATATCCTTAATCGATGCATAAAGCTTGGAAACAGCGAGAACGTGCCCGCGACATAGTAACTGATGGAATGATCTCTCGTACATTTCCTAGAAAGCAACGTGTGACATATAATATGTATAAGCTCAACTCAAAAGACCCATGTTTTATGACAAAAACTTGACGTTCGCGGACGAAGTCGACCGGAGGCTATACGTAACAACGCAGCTGCGTATGCAGGACATCCAAATTACACAGTCAAGTCAAAGTTATCGCTTTTAGTAAACTGTCGTGCTGTTAATCCGCGCTGTTGCATAAAAGTTTGCTTGTGTCTGTTCATCTTATTTTCTTTTTGGTTGTGCGAAAGAAGATGCCAAGCTTTAAACTTTGTCATTGGTGAATCACTGAAAATTGTAATATGGCTAAAATAAAAATGTAGCACTGTCTCAAAAAAAAAAAGAGGAGCTCATAGTGGGAGCATAGAGAAATCTTAAACGGTAAGCCAGCGCCATATAAGCTGCACCCCCCCCCCCCCTCAATCCGATCAAACATCGTCAAAACACAACGCGTAAGTTATATACTTGCCCCCTTGAAGAAACTCGCTTGTCCCCCCTCTCCTATCCTCCTCGGTAAAAAAAAAATTCTGAAACACTCTCTTCTAAAACTGTCACTTTCTATGCACGCTGGAAGTTAGACTAACGTGATGACACTTCAACACTGAACGTCAAGCCTTCTATACGTATTATTTTGGTATCACCCTGTAGTTCTCATGATCATTACAGCATGCGCAGTTCATTCTTGACAGGCGCCCAATCGAACGTTCACCGTTGAAAACGGCATTAAAATATCTCCAAAGTGGGCGTAGCTTAGAGTACAGGAACTTACCGGCATAGGACTCTCCGGAAAGGTAGAGGCCGTTCTGGGCCAGTTCTCCGAAAAGCGTGAAGAACTGCTGTAGAAACTCTAGCATGTCACGTCCCACGTCGGTCTGGTTGCGCGCGTAGCCAGCTTCGTTCTCGGTGAAGCTGAAGCCCGTGCCTACGGGCTGGTCCACGTAGAGCATCGAGTAGCGCGACGCCCAGTTGATCTCGCGGTACCTGATCTCCGCACCGTCCGCCGACAGAATGTACGGCCCGTTTTCAGCGAAGAAGCCCAGCATGGACGTCGTTCCCGGACCGCCTTGCATCCACAGTATCACCGGGGCATTCTCAGGATCGCTCTAAGGAAGAGGATCAATTCAACCATGTTCAATTCTTCTATGCATAGCTATCACGAGGGAAATATGTTTCGCTTGGTTTAACGAATAATATTCACAGTATTTCCTTAACAGTTAGTCTTATTTTTATCATTGTTGTTCGTGTTGGTGATAGACCATGGTTGTCGCAGTAGGTTCGATATTAGCACGTTCCCGCGTTGGGTAATTTTCTCTACAGCGTGCTAATCCGGCCTTCCTTTGGTTTGGGCGCTGTCTAGCAGGTGAACAAGAACTTGTTTGTCTGCTACCAAGTGACTTTACTCACTGCTCTTTCCTCTCACATGGCGAGGATAAGCCCGACAGATGGAAAAACATGCCAGAGATTGCCGCGTAGCGAGGGGTAACGCGAAGCAAACAAGGGCCGCGTTTTCACTATCGCACGCGTAGAACGTATTGTTACGACTCGCACCACAGCCGCGACGCTGCTGCGTAGTGCACCGAGGTCATGGGCCGCCAAGGTTGTTCACTAGCGCCTTTCTCAGCTCGCGGCTGCTTCTTCGCAGAGCTGATAGACGAGCGGACAAGACGACGGTGAGTCAAGTCAAGATTTATGTACAGCATAAAATAGAGTGGTTACACATTCGGCACTAGGGCCGAAAGCATAGGGACTCGAAGAGCCGAGGTGTCTTCGTACGTTCTTCTCTCTGACGCAAAGGTCGGCTGCTCGGCGACGCACCGCTTGGCTTTTTATATAAGCCCCGGGCAATCCTTACGTCAGCAACGTCCCATCAGAACCGCCGCTGGCCGTGATGTCACATTCCTCCAGTCAGGAACCACCACTGGATTGCACCCATGGGCGACGGATGTTGCCACGCATTTCGTAAGACTCGCCAGACTGGATGGCGCCGATTGCATTATCGGGCTGCTATCGGGCTCATGGGTTGAGGGAGCTCGCCGTGCGTTACGTAAGACAGACCAGTGCAGCCGAGCTAGATGACGTCGTTGAGGGGATGACGTCAGGTGGGCTCGCACGCTAGCCTTGACATAGATTGCCTTTGCAGAGGCATTGACGTTAGGTCTGTACTCCCAGGTGTAACAGTATTCACTGATTTCTTAGGAGCTATTAAGGAGCTCAAGAAAGTTCACAAAAGCATGAAGACCTTCGAGGCGATTCATGAGATGAATCATAATACATCTACTTGCGTCAAGGTACATTGGATTCAAGGCCGTGCTGCGAACCCACACAACATTGCGGCTAACAAGCAGGCGCACTGCCCTGCAAACATAGACCTTCCAGCCATTACTCTTCCACCTCAGCCCCTAAACTCACTTCGTACCCGTAACAATGTTGTCCAGCAGGATACACGTGCTCTCATACTACCGTGTGTCTGCTTACTCTCCCCTTACCTTACTAGGGCGGAAAAAGTTGTGCTTAGGAGGCTTCGGGCAGGGTTCGCCCTTACATCGGCCATTATATCTTCATGGAACTGGTCGCATTTACCAGTTGATGATACGTGTCCGTATTGTACCACTCCAGTGATGCAAGCAGGTGCCTACCACCTTATAGACATGTCAAGGGTAACAGACGGAACGCTCCCGTCACCTCCTTCAAGCCGGCCTTCGCTACAGCGACACAGCCAGTTACAACTGCTCGATACATGACAACACATTCCACAAGACACTACTTCACTTCATGCACAACACTAGCCTGACTGTGCACGTTTGACAAACAGATTCACAAAAATATTATGCCTTAAAGGCAACTCTTTGTCGCAATAAAAAAAACTACTTTCGCTGCTCACTAGTGCACAGTTGCAAAGCCACAAATCAATTTCGACTTTCGACGGCTCGCGCTCCGGCGTTTCAAGGATTCATCGCATCCGAATGACCTTGAGAGCATGAAGTAGTAGAGCGTTCGCTCTAAAGAACCAGTGAACCTGGTCAGTCATACGCCCCTTTTCCGTTGGTCATGCCCCCACGACCACCCCTCCCCAACAGCATGCAAAGAACGCAGAATCTCATTACTTCAAGAGAAAGGCTTGCTACGGAGACCGCGTTCACGTACCAGGGAAATTAGCCTTTCTTCCGGGTTACCATCCTGGCACTTCAAAAATATCGAAACAGTTCGTGCGTTTAAAAGTTCTGTACGTTACTTTATATATAATCCAACTTGCTGTGTACCACCGCACTCACTTTGAGGAAGAACATGATGGAGCTTTGGTGCGTAGTTGCTGAGGCTGAGCGTGATAGTACATACTGAACTGATTTCTTCTCTTTAACAGGGCAAATATATAAGACAGTATCATTTCGCAATAAGTAATCAAAAGGACGACGACATCCGGAGCATAGTACGGCACAGAGTTTCATTAAGCACAGCTATAAATGTTTACTTACACGAAGCCACAAAATTGAAGTCTTACGGGACATTCGCGCTAGAATTAATATTCTGCGAACCAAATTCAGCGTTAGCACAAAGTTATTTTGATAATTACACAATCAAACACTTCACGCGCAACATCAGTTATCACCCCCATTAATCACAACAATTGAATTAAATTTAAACAGGCACATGGATTTTCAAATGTGCGTGAACTCACCAAGGATGGCACGAACCAGAAGAAGAGGTTGCTGTTGTACTGCGGGTTGACGGTTATGTAGCCAGAGAAGCCAGGCACTTCTATATCAGCACCGAGCGCGCCCACTTTGCTTTTGTACTTGGCTTCATCCAGTTTTCCTTCCTTGATTAAGGGTGTCAGGAACAAGGCTTCCCCTGGACAAGTAAAAGACCTAACTTTATGCGGTCCTGTCACTGATATCATTTACATCAGACGGCTGCAGGGTTAGCACACGCACCAGCTCTGCTTGCTTACTGAACTCTCTTCAACGTTTCGTTCTACACACCAAATTTATTACGTGTATGTATGTATGTATGTATGTATGTATGTATGTATGTATGTATGTATGTATGTATGTATGTATGTATGTATGCATGCATGTATGTATGTATGTATGTATGTATGTATGTATGTATGTATGTATGTATGTATGTATGTATGTATGTAGTATGTATGTATGTGTGTGTGTATGTATGTATGTATGTATGTATGTATGTATGTATGTATGTATGTATGTATGTATGTATGTATGTATGTATAAGTGTATGTATGCATGTATGTATGTATGTATGTATGTATGTATGTATGTATGTATGTATGTATGTATGTATGTATGTATGTATGTATGTATGTATGTATGTATGTATGTATGTATGTATGTATGTATGTATGTATGTATGTATGTATGTATGTGCGGTTATGCAAGATACGCACCGTGAATACGTTTGTCTAAATTGAACAGCACACGACACATCACCTGATATTGCTGTAGAGCACCTGCATGAACCCAAGATGTCAATATCACGTTTTGGTTCTAAATAGCCTTTTCCTGACATTTTGCATGGTAGCTTCGACATGCATGATGGCAAATAGCAAGTTAGGCAGATTTCAAGCATGTTTTTCAAACCAAATACTTAACTGTAGCATAACTAGTGCACTGTTAGTTCATGAATCGATGATTCATCTGGCAGCATTAACATAAGACTCTGTCACAAGAGAAGCTGCGTCAAAGGCCAACCCATTACGAGCGAGCAGGGAAGTGCCCTGAGCACGTTACTAGGTCTGACACAATCGAGAAAGAATGGCTATTTATCAAAACCCTAGTTCAGTACACTATATCATATTTCGGCTTAAATTAACATAGCTGTCATAAGTAGGCTTGACGAACGGACAAGCAACGTAACATCTAAACTTACTCGGCAGTTTCAATTGCAATTGTATACGACATTAAACCTTATCTTCTGATGACATACTAGTTCGATGACCTGTCACTCCTAATTAAAACCACATTATTCTCCTTCTCTAGTATTGTTTAGCAGCTATATTACAGCAGCTATCTACATGCACGCTTATGCATAACTCCTCCAGGACGAAACGTTCAAATTTTAAAACACACATAAAAAAGTTTCACGCGTTTTTCTGAGGCACTTTTTTTATGGGTAAACTAAGTTTTTCGTAATAAAGATGCCTACTTATCAGACGCAAAGACCTGAGGTTCGTTTGAACAACCCGAATGTTTAACAGAAAGGCACATTAAAAAAACTGGTACTAATAAAAGAGAGCTCTGCATGGAAGCTAAGTTAGATTTGCATGTCAGGGGTCTATGACCCCATGCACCTCAAGCATGTGAATGTTACCACTGTCAACCTGACACATCACCTACAGCACTTGCGCGATAGCGAATGATTGTCACTTTAGATGTTCAAGAGCGTGACATATCACGCGATAGCGGCTTCTTGTCACACTTGCGATGACGATCTCAATTTAGTTATCTCTAATGAAAATTTTACAAGGTGGAAAGAAAAAGAAAGAAATTGTGGGCTTCAGTGTTGGAGAAAACGCCATGTTTATAATAAAACCTGAACATCCCAAAGAATATTAACTGTGTTTGTCGCAGCATATTTTTACATATTTCAAGCCCTAAAATTATTGCGACGAGTTTTCTGCTATGAAAATTGTCTTTGGGCTTTTTTTTAGTGTTAAGAAATATAGCAATGAAACTGGGCCACCTTTCCGAAACATAACCTGAAAAAATGTAAATCACTTCATATCATTCTTCGTCTTATATACACATGTCCATCCTATGTCCCCAAAAACTTTAATCCCATGATTTTACAATATTTCGTATACGATGCAGCTTGATTGCAACCTCCCTTCTGCATTTTTGTGCAGTCATTAAATTGCGCATGTCACTACAAATTGTGTGGTAACAAAAGATTCAATTAAACGTGAGGAGGGTCACGGATTTTACGGCTGTCGCTATAATTCCATGTTGTCCTGCTCGTAACGCTAAGGCTAACCTGGGACACCTTGATTGGCCAGTAGCTTTAACAAACCTACGTTAAAATGCCGCAGGAAGCATGGTTCTTGAAATGAAGTTAGCCAAGTATGCAAGGCTTGTTGTATGGACTGTGATTGCTACATTTTTTTGTTGATGCACGGACTTTTTAGGTTTACTCGGTTTTGCGCATTGTGGAATTGGCTATTACGTTATTGATATTACAAAAAGTGGCTTATGTAATCATGTCGCACTTACCGCGGGACTGATTTCTTGTGTTGGATGAGTTTTAAATAAACGGCGTAAATATTTCATGCGCTGCGAGATGTCACTTCATAGTGGCCGACTAATGTGCATGTTTCATTATCAAATGTGTTAAAAGGCGCAAACAGGAAAATAACTGCACGCGGGAGTTTATTTCCTTCAACACACGGTTTTCATAAAAACGTATACACCATCGCCACGCATTAGAAAAGCAAGCTCTTTGCTAGGTATGTTAACAGGCGACGTACCGACGCACGCTTAAAATGTTTTCTGCTGCTATGATCTCCCTTGCCGATTTAAGCGTCATGTCGCGTTGATCATGAAATACATGACAGGACATGCGTTTTGGTCAAACTGTATGGCGAGACACAAAAACAGAAGTGTCAAACTGCGCTTCTTTGTCTCACCTCTGTCGCCATTTACATTTCTTTGTCTCAATTCTGTCGTCATATATATATATATATATATATATATATATATATATATTGTAACGACGAGAGAAATAAGACACAACGCCTTTGCTGCAGGCCGGCTGTTCTTATTCTGCTTCGTCTTCCTCCTCTTCCTTCCTAGCATGCGAGTCTGTGCCAGAGAGAGTTCCAGTTTCGGTTTTCGTCATTACACTCGGCCATGACTGCTAGCATTGTCGTTGGGCCAAACGACAATGTTCTGGTAGGTAAGGCTAGCTGCAGCAGTTGACAGTGCTTCAGGTGGGCGAGGTTGGCTACATCGTCGTGGTCGGTCTCGACCACGCTGGAAGTTTGTCGAAATTGGCTCCGGCGGCCGACACTGGCTATGTCGTCTGGGTCGTTCACCGTGTCGTGATGGAGACTGGGTCCTGTGCGCGCGCGGAGCTGGCGGTAAAGTTTTTGGTGGGTGGGCTTGACTTTGTCGCCGTGGTCGAACTCGTCCATGATGCAACGTTTCCTGACAACTCGTAGAATGCAGTTCAGGTGGACGGCCCTGACTGTTCCGGCAAGGTCGCAGAGTAACCTGGAAACGCTGGTGTTTGTCCCACCGTCGCTGGTGGACTGAACTGCAGCGGGATGCCCTGCGAGGCAGCCATGATGACGTTTGGGCCATTTCTTGAAATGAGATGGGACGCAGCTCATGGTTGGGCATAAATACCACAGCAGAACTCCCAGACGTAGTCGAGCCGGTGGCTTCTGGCGAACTGTCATGTGCAAACATCGTATGCTGGGAGGAAACAGCAGGAGGGCTGGTCCTCGGCAAGTTCTCGATGGCAGTGGCCTCAGCGTAGCTAGGTATCTGGGCTTTCTCGAAGGAAACGTTCCTTGGTAGCCGAGTGTCTGCGTGGCTGAGCATGATCGTGGTCTGGTAGGGTTCAGTTGTGTCTAGTACAATAGGATTGAGTGCCTCGATGTCCTCAGACGACGAGCGCGAGGGCCGTATCTCCGGACGAAGGTCTGGTGGGGGTATTTTCAGGTCGAATACCGATGCAGAGTCCGGGACCTGTAGTGTAGGATTCCAGCCACTTCGGTCAGGGTCAGCAGCAGGGAACTCCTGGCAGCATTCCGTTGACGAGCTGCAACGAACGATTGCAGCCTCGAGGCGGGGCGCTGCCTGGGCTCCATCCTCGGCCTCGGGGAAGATCGAGCTGGACTTGCTGGAGTCACAGGAAATCCGTCCGAAAGCGGCAATCAGGGCTGCACTCCATTCTGCCCAGGACTGCTGCCTGACGCCTTCGTACCTGTGCCATGCTGCGGCAGCATCCCGCAGGCGATCTATGGCCATGTCCCACTTCTGCTCTTCAGTCGTTCCGAGAGCGTTGACGGTTGCCACCCATTCCTCGGCGTCGTCCTGGAAGCCGCGAAATTCCGGTAGCGCGAAGGAAATCGGCGATGGCGGGACGGCGGGCAGAACTCCGAAATGTGCCCCCGCCAAGCAGTTCACTTGCTCCGATACCTCCGCGAGAGAACGCCGGAGATTGCGACGGTTCTCGGGCGAGCTTACCTCGAAGTTTTGTGCGGCGGCCGCAGCCAACATGGCATTGAGTGCGCACAATGTTGTCAAGATGGCAGGACATAGCTTGGAACTCGACGCTATGAGGGCGTTGGTCGTGACACGGAGTTGCGCGATGGTATGCTGCAGCTCCGCTGCGCTGTCGTGTGATCCGCACGAAGAGCCAAGGCCCGCCTCTGCGGAGGATACAGTGACTGCGGTATTCGAGGTGGTACAATTCTTGACCAAGGACGCGTGGACGGCGTCCCTTGGAAATCCAGCTGTGGTCAGCGAAGAAGCGTGACGGCGAGGAGGCCTTGACGCCGTCCCCGAACGGTGGTGTCAGTAAACAGCTGCCGAGGAGGGCTTGACGCCGTCCTCAAGCGACGCTTACCGCGGCTGCACGTCGGCGGGCGTTCTGGATGACGAAACCGAGACGTAAGCCGTTTTCTTCGTCGACTGCGCCATTGTAACGACGAGAGAAATAAGACACAACGCCTTTGCTGCAGGCCGGCTGTTCTTATTCTGCTTCGTCTTCCTCCTCTTCCTTCCTAGCATGCGAGTCTGTGCCAGAGAGAGTTCCAGTTTCGGTTTTCGTCATTACAATATATATATATATATATATATATATATATATATATATATATATTG